ATCAGGCGCTTGGTGGGGGCGCAGGGGCGCAGCGGCAGGCGCCGGAGGTAGCGGGGCCGGTGGCGGTGATGGGGCCGGAGCCGGACGGGGAGCCTTCTGGCAGCGGCGGCGGGCACGGGCTGCACATAGATGAGCCCGCTGTTGTAAATGCGATCGTGCGACTGGCAAGGCTGTGTGAGTAGCTTTTTGCTTTCGCAGGCGGGTTTCAAGGCTTACGACAATGTTGTCGTGTAATACGTAAGTGCAAAGCTATTGTGTTGAAGCAGTGTTGATACACATGAGCAGTCAATGTCTCGGAGCAATGGATGGGTGAGCAGGTGACTGCACTCTGTTCAGGCGGACCCATCCAGGCGGATGTTTTGCTGCTTGGGATACAGCCACTCAAAAGGGGGACAGCAGGTACGGATGACGATTGGCGTTGCACACGCTGCACGCAGCCCTGACACATCCCGCCGCAAGCACCTGCGCCCCCTTGCGCCCTGCGCGTGCATCGCGTCTCAACACGACCCAACAGCCCATGCATGTCACTCCCACCATGAACCCTGCTTGCTTTGCCGCTTAGCATGTCCTTTCCGGGTACCGGCTCTATGTGAAAGTTGGCATTCGACTTGCTGTAGTATGCATCATGCAGCTATAGTCCAGGAGATGTCCACAGTGCTGTCGGCAGGTCTCCATGGTGGAAGTTGGGCTGGCCGCCAAGGTGTGACCTGCTCCGAGCGCTGCTGGGCGGGTGTGTGACCCATGGGTGCGATGCAAGTGACATGGTGGAGTGAGGGCGATATGAACGGATGTAACTTTAGTCAACCTTGATTTTGCAAGGTTGTCGAGGCACTGACATAATCCGAGCGAGTATCTCCGTCGGCTAACTGTGGGCACCCGGCGAAGATCTATCCAAGCTCGGAAAGCAGAGGGCAGTGACGCGACGAGTTGCTAGCCAGAAGGACTTGCTACAATATCCATGGCAACCAGACGGCTTGCTATTCCGCTTGCAGTGGCGGCGGTGGCGCTCGCTGCGCTCGTGCCTGCTCTGGCGGCCCCAGCCAGCCAGCGAGCTCCCGTCCAATCTTCGAGCAGCGTGCTCTTATTCAACCTGTGCGAGTTGTACCCCCACTATGGTCAGCCAAGGAGCCAGTGTTCAAATCTGCTGAGGGCAGCCAAGGAGCAGGGGTCGCGCAGGTGCGTGCATCGCCTTGCGAGGAGTGCCGTTCGCGGTGCGCGCTGCATCCTGCTTTGACACATCATAACGCCTGAAGGCCGGCTCGCTCCGCACGCATTGCAAATGCAAACCGTACAAAGCTCACATGTAACTCTCACCTGCCCGTTGCATCCCGTTCAGTGTCAATATCGTCCCAACCAAGTGAGCACTTAGCCATTGAGGAGTTGTGCAACCATTGCACCAAATTGAATTCAACGGGCTGAGCATACGCGCGGGTCTTGTCCCGACTCGAATGCGCGCACTTGAAACTATACGTGGACATGCGTTGGTCCTGCAACTTTAGGCCACTCTTTCACTGCTGGCATGAAATGCTCGAACGTGCGACACCCACCGCCTCTGATGCCCGCCCTGGCAGCTACTGGATGGACGAGCGCGCCAAGGCCCAGCTCAAGGCTGGGACCTGCTACCCCGACAACTTGGTTGTGCACTCTAGTTTTGATTATCTCTGTCAGAGATGGGAATATGACAAGTGAGAGGAAGGGGTGTACCCCCTGAAAAACGGCTGGATTCGCCTGTTGCAGAAGGCTCTTTGTGCAATGGCCGTGCCGGCCATCAGTTTTGCCACACTACCCACGGTTGCCTAATCAATCACAGCATCTGCATCTCCTCTGCGGATGGCTTTTGTGCAGCCCATGCTCCCCCTGGGATGCTCAGGCAATCAAGCGCATGACAGAGGGGATGAAGGCCTGCATACAGGAGGTGTGCGCAAGTTTGACATGTGATGGTGGTTGTCAAACATGCACTGCAAGGCCCATTTCTGCAGCTGGGTTTTGTCCATCGGGGTGCGACAGCTTGCTGTGCAATGCCAGGTGCGGCGAGGCTGTGGAGCGGCGTCTGCAACAGGCCACCGACGGATGGCACAGCCTGCCCCCCCAATCCTCCCGCCATTGACACCCCTGTCTCCCCTTCCATCCCTCGCCTCTCACACCTCCCCAGGCCCACGACCTGTTTGACACCGTGCTGATCAGCCCGCACCTGGACGATGGCACCAAGACCATGCACTGGCGCAACATGCTCTGGTTCGACCCCCTCAAGAAGGACAGGTGCGCCCTGCTGCCGGCCAGGGCACTTTGCGGGGCGATGCGGGCACAGAGTCAGCACGAGTCTGGGGAGACAGGAGCTTGGCACGGCGAGGCGGCGACTAGGAGTCTGCAATACCCCCTGGTTACCACCATGTCTGAGTCCATGCCCCCTCCCTGAGAGTTCACACATATCCGCCCTAAACCACGTGGAATTCCTCCTCAGGTACGGGTACTCGTACTGGGACACAATGCTGAGCCCCATCTTGCAGGCCGTCAAAGCCGCCTACACCAAGCCCGGCAAAACATTCATTTTCGGGGCGCAAGGGGAAATGGGAGGTGTGTTGCAGTGTACCTGCATCACCAATGGTTGTGGGGAGGGGGCAAGCAGTGGGTCTGCAGCGCGTATTAGGGAATTTGCCACACTGCTGAGTGGTGGGGGAGGGGCAGGCTGTTCGCGCTAAATATTGTCAACCATGTCATTTCTTACCTATGAAATATTCTGCTACTAATCTACCAATGAACGCCACGCACGCACGCGCGCGCGCACACACACACACACACACACACACACACACACACACACACACACACACACACTGCTGTGCTGCTATTCTAAGCACAAGTACACACTCTCCTGCCACAAACGCACCTTACTCACCCTTGATCCCCAGGAACTGTGTTCTACGCACCTGAGTCATACCAGAAGGTGTTTGAGATGATACAGAAAGAGTACACAGGTCCTGCCACCCTAAAGACCGCCTTGTTATTCAACCATGCGTTTGTGCCCGGCGTCGTCAACCGCGGCCCAGACCCAGCAGATAAGCGCGCAGGCCCGCCCAGCAAGCTCCAGGCCATCCAAGGCTGGGGCCCCCTCCTGCCCTTTGACAAATGGGAGCGGAGTGACCGCCTCAAACAGGCGCTCCCAGCTGTGAGGAAGCTGCTCGGGTCTGTCGACGTCATCGGGGTCAGCAGCTACCCGCGGACCTCTGCGGACCCAAAGCCACGGGAGCTGGAGGTCTGCATGGTCAAGTTTGACGCCGAGATGAAGGCATTGGGCTTTGACGTGCCGGCCTGGCGCAGCCGACCAGGCAAGCAGCTCATCTGGAGCGAGTTTGCCCTGGGCGGCGGCGTCAACCGCTGTGGCACAACGCCTGCGCGGACACGGGAGCTGGCGGGACTGTGGCCCTGGCTGGATGTGGGGTACCCCTGGACTGCCAAAACTGATCCCTGGGCCGTCGCAGAGATACGGGTGCGCGCACTGGAGGAGGGGCCAGACGGAGCATGGCGTTTTTGGTGGGATGGAGTTGGGTACTGCCAAGCGTCCACAAGGGCTAACGTGGTGATTTTGCCGGTGAAGGAGAGGCGCGGGGGAGGCCACGATCAGCAAGAACCCCCCATTAGTGCTGAAGTTGGCCGCCACAACACATGCCGCCGCGCCCGCAGCAATATCGTCGAGACTGGCACAACGCGGCGCTGTCACTGTTCAAGGCGGGGGGCCTGGCCTACCCCATTGACGGCGCCTTCATGTGGTGAGTTTTGGGCGAAGGGACCAGGCCGCGATATGTGGGCGTACTGCACATGTGTGTGCGTGCATGCGTAAAGAGGGGCTGCCTGTGCAGGGACCACAATACAGCTTGGACCACCAGCCCAAGGACACGAGCGCGCCTGCACTGCACTGCTAGCACTTTCTGACTTCCTCTGCAGCGCGCACATGCACAGCTTGCCAACAGCCCGCTTCCAAGTGACACACTCAGCTCCCTACTGCACCCACCCCATCGAGCCAGGAATCTTTGCTCAATGGACCCCCAGGCCATCCACCCTGCATCATCAGCACCAAACGGGTCGTTCAAGGATGATGTTATTGCGGCTGCAATCCGCAAACACAACGCGGGAATCTAGCAATGCATGCTTGCTGCGAGGCAGCAGATTATTCAGCAGTAGCGGGTGTGCACGGCAGACCCAGGGCAATGGAGCGGCATACTTGGCCAGAGGCGGTTGTCGGGCAGGTTGGACGGCACAGTAGAGTCCAAACCTGCGCTGTGTGGTCCATGGCCGGTGCGTAGCCAGCGGCGCTTGCTTAGCCAGCCATTGTTCACACGCCATTGTTCACACCCGCTTGAATTGATTGTGTCGCCGTGGACCACACCGCGGATGCATACCTCACTGAGAAAGTGACCTGTGCTTGTCAACATTTATTCTGCATTTTTCTGACGCCTTGCCACGACACAGTACATTGCGGTTGCAGCCTCCTGCTTCCTGCTGGATAATCATGTCATGCAATACGGACTTCGCGTATCAATTTTGTTACCCTCAGCTGCCCCCACCCAGGGAGCTGCCCGTGCTGCTGGCGCCGCCACTCCCACGGCCCGCGCCCAGCAGCAGGGTCGCCAGCAGCGCCAGCGCCCCGCCCACCGCCGCGCCCGCCACTGCCAATGCGGCAGCCTGCTCGCGGCTCATTGTGACGCGCTCAGGGCAGCGATGGAGGGCGGCGGCGGTCGCCCGCGACCACAGCCGCCCCAGCGGGGCCACCGCCCGCCACACCCTCTCCTCTGCCAGGGTCATGGGCCGCTGCACCCGTCCTGCCGCAGGGTCCGCACCTGAGGCTGTGCTCGCACCCAATGCAGATGCAGAAACGCCGGCCGTGATCGCTGTCGACTCCCTTGCAGTGGCTGCCAGCTGTGATGTGAGCCCCCGCAGCTCCTGCAACAAGTTATCCAGCTGCTGCTGCTGCTGCTGCTGCTGCTGCTGCTGCCGCTGCGCCTCCTGCTGCTGCTGCTGTTGACCACCGCGTGCTGCTGCCGTCGCTGCTGCAGGGCTGCTTTGGCTACTTCGAAGCAGCGCGCGTCCAGGCACCTCACTACCACCATCACCGCCGTTTTCGCTTTCCGCAAACGCCGCCACTTCGCTGCGCAGCGCATCGAGCTGCTCTTGCAGCGCCTCCCCCTGTGCCGCCACCAGCTCACCAACAGCGGACTGCGGCCGAGGAAGACAGGGGCATGTACAAGCTATGGGGCTGTGGTGGGGGCCGCTGGACGCGTGGGCCGGTGATGTGCGGGTGCTTCTGTGCTACGTCGTGTGGCCCTTATCCATACGTGATACGTGAGTTATAACTGACAGCTGGTGGCAGCCCAGCCCCTGCATAACCCCTGGTTTGGGGCACCTGCAGCAGTGCGCGCCGCCTGGGCTCCATGACCGCATATACCGCCACAAAGGACGCAGCCTGGTTCAAGTGAGCGGATGAGTCAGTGCTTGTGGCTCAGGTGAGTGGGGGCCGCTGCGAGATGGATCCTGCCGTGCAGCATCCACAGGCATTGGGTAGCATAGCAAGCAAACTCGCCACCCTCGCTCGCCAGCCTCGCGCGTGCCTGTCCCCCGATGTTTGCCTGCTTGCGAAGTGGTGTCGCCCCCTCCCAGCCCCCACCCCCACCTGCAGCCCCATGAGTGACCAGGTCCACCAGGTGGCGGCGCGGCGGATCTTGTCACCCCACAGCTGCTCCTGGAGTCACCAGGATAAAGAGACCAGGGCACAGGACGAGGTCACACGTGGCAGCGCTCGGGGTGGTCGAGTGCAAATACAGCAAGTGGCACGTGCACCAACAACAACCAACCACTTGCAACACACAAAACGCGCACAACCTGCGCATCACGGCCCCCAGGCCACCCTGCCCACCCATGTTCCTCCCTACCTGAGTGTATCTCTCGCGTATCCTGTGCATCAGGTCGGCCTGGGCCAGCTCCACAGCCTCACCCGCCTCCTCGTACCTTGGTGGGGGAGGCCATCGTGAGGGGGGGGGGCCTTGTCGCGCGCACAAACAGAGCGCAACACCAAGGCGCGCCAGGGGTTGGGCAGCGCGACAATGCCAGGCGCACGTAGCAGGCATGAAGGCAGCATGCACTGATGCTGGTGCAATAGGCATGCCCCTGGGCTCTTGGCTCTGCCCAGCTTCAGCCCGGGCACTCCCCCGCTCACCTTGCCTTTGCTTCGGCAACAGCCGCCTCGTTGGCGTGCTCTGAGGCGTACACGTCGGTGAAACGAGCCACGTCTGAGGGGCCCCAGGAGCTCTTGCGCTGCAGCAGGTGGGCCATCTCCTTGGACAGCGCGCGCTGGTGCCCCAGCCGCTCTTCGTAAGACTGCACGAAGGGGGGGGGTGTGGACGCATGCGTGTATTTGTGCGCGCACGTTGTGTGTGTATGTGTGGGTGTGGGTGTGGGTTTGTGCGCATGCTGCATATGTGTGCGCGCGCACTGTGTGTGCGCACGTATCTGTATGCGTGTGTATTGACGAGCAAACGCTGCCGCACGCGCCTGCCTCCCAGTACAATTGTGCGTCCAAGGGTCTCAGAGCTTGATGGCGCACAGGGGTTTGACAGATCACTTGGCCGCGCAGCCTGCCAGCTAGCTGCTCACGTGCTTTGCCGCTTGCAGCTGCCGCCTGAGCGCCGCCAGCCGCGCATCAGTGGCCTCCACTTGCAGCTTGATGCGCTCTATGGTGTCATAACCTGAGGGGCCACGCGAGCACCACAAGGCGGGAGGTGGCACGGAGGCGTCAGGTACCAGCCAGCTGACACGCGGATGCTCATGCCAGCCTGCCACGCAGCGCCGCGCCACCTGAGGGAGCACGTCCTGCTGCAGCTGGACTGTCCTCTCTAAACACCATCTGCGTGGTGCTCACCCGTCAACACGTTGAATGCGTTGGCCAGGCGCACCAGGGTCTCCTGCGCACCGCGCCCGCCACCAGCCTCGCCAACGCCGCCAGCGCTGCCGCTCTCTGAGCCTTTTGCAATCCGCCACGCCTCCCTTAGCTTCGTGCTCCCAGCTGGATCCTTGCTGTTGCTGGCTTTTGCTTCACCCGTGGCGCTTGCTTCATTCGTGGCACCGCCCTCAGCACGTGGGCGCGTCGTCGCATCCCCATGTGCTGTGCTGCTGCTGCTGCTGCTGCTGCTGCTTGTGCTACTACTGCTGCTCGCCCGCTGCGCATCTGCTGCCACGGCTGTGTGTTTGATGCCACACCTGTTACTCGCACACAATGTTGCATGCAAAATCCTAGCATTGAGGGTGCTGCACGCGGCTGAAGACTGCATCGAACGAAGTTGTGAACTTGTGATCGCGTGCAGGTTCGGGAAGGCACTGATCGCTTTCCAACTCAATGGTGTCATATGATATGAGCGTGTTCATTGTGGATTTATATTGTGGTGTGCTGGCGTCTGAGGACAAGTGTAACCCGATCATTTTGGTTGAGTAATGGTCCGGTCATGTCTTGAGGTATCATAGGGAGGGTGCCAAGGTCGGTGTGCGTGATATCAAGGGTCATATGGTGCTACCATTATGAACTTCAGTGTGACCAATGTAGTATTCTGCATGCGTGTTGCAAACATTGTGCCTGCTGCCTGCATCCTGCAACTGCCCGTGCTTCAGATTCATCGCCTCGAGGAAGATGCAGTTTCACCATCTTGCACAATTGATCATGCTGAACCTGCACCATCTGTCCCATGCTCCATTGTCAAGTTCAGACATCCCTGCCAGCTCTGATAAAGTGCCCACCTTGCTGACATAGTGCATGTTGGGTTGCTGGATGCGCGGATTCAAGCCTCGCTACGGACTCATGGCCCTGCTTGCTGCAGCCACATAGGATACCATGGCTTACACCACACCCTTCTTCCTTGTTGAAGAGTGGGCAGCGGATATGGAGCACAAAGCAGGCCACAGATGGCGGCCCTGCATGGCATCAGCCCCAAATTGGGGGCCCAGAAACGGGCGCTTCACTGGACGCAGCACAAGTACAATTGCCGTGATTGAATTGAATAGAAGTGCACCCAGAGGGGGCCAAGGGTATATAATTCTTTCATTTAAAAGGGGTTCGGCCCAAATTGATTGCCTACAGCAGCAGGGCCAGGAAGGCGGGAACGGCCAAAGCCGCAGCACCAAACGCCGCACCCGCTGCGCTGCTCTTGGTGGAGGTAGTGGGGGTGGTGGTGGTGGCGGAAATGGTGGCGCCCGTGGCGCCCGCGGTGCTGGGCGAGCCAGCTGTAGCGGAGGCGCCAGCCGACTTGGTAGTGGTAGCAGTGGTGGTCATCGCCGCGACGTCAGTGCCGGTGGTGGCCTCGCTGTGGGCACCCGCAGCGGCGTCACCATTGGTGGCGGTCAAGTCGGCAAAGGGGTCGGCGGTGTCGGTGGTAGAGGCATCCAGCAGCTGCGCCAGGTCCGGGGGCAGCAGGGCGCCGTTGATCTCGTGGATGATGGCCTTGCCCGCCACAACGTTGGCCTTGGACACCGCCTGGCCATTGACGCTCACGACGCCGCTGCGGGTGAGGAGAAGGGGAGGGGGTGCAGGCAGAATGGCGAGAGCATTGAGATACATGGCAAGCAACATGCAAAAACATGAAGCAAGGATGCCGAAAGTGATTTCTAGAAGCAGAGAGCGGCGAAAGCAACACAGAGCCACAAGGAAGGCAACACAGACACCAAAGGCCCCTCGCGCACTTGGCAATAGTGACCGCGAGCGTCTCGCCACTCTGGGTCTTCAGGGTCGTGCCATCCTTGAGGGCTGAGCTGAGGAGGGCCTGGCCGGGCACGACATGGTAGCTGAATATCTCATAGGCCTGGTCGGGGTTGTCGGCTATCAGGGCGCTGAAGTCACCACCAACCTGAAACAGGAACCCAGAGGGCGAGGGTTGGCGGCACTTTGCATAGGTAGCTTCTGTGCGCAAATGGGCGGCGGCCCTTGCAGCAGCGAGCTGGCTTTGTCCAGCAATTGTGCAAGGAGCTGCGCACTGGACAAGCAAGGAGAGGGGCTTGGAGCACAAGCGAAAACTTGGATTGCACACGTGAGAGCATCGCGCACCTTGTCAGATAGGGAGGTCAGTGCGTCATTGGTGGGCAGGAAGACGGTGCCGACAAACGCGGGGTCCCCAAACGACTTGGTCAGGTTGGTGCCTTGCAGGTTGGTGTTCAGAGTAGACAGCTCGGGCAGCGCCTTGACGGCGTCAGCCACAGTGGCGTAGCTGGCCGCATGCGCGGCACCCAGGAGCGCCAGCAGGGCAAGGAGTGCGATGTGGGCGGGCTTCATGGCTGCCTGCCGAGGGAGAGGAGGAGAGGTGGGAGCAGGGCAACATGCGGGGGAGTGAGCAGTGCATCTACAGTGGGGGAAGGGGAGCGTGGCAATAACATGCAAGCTGTCTGCTCTGTCAGACAGCAGAAGGCTTGCGTGGAGTCCTCACGCCGGACCTGAATGAGGGCGTGAAGGGCCTGGAAGGGACCCAGACGACACGCCCCGGGCCGCGGATAGCTGTCAAAAGCGGGCTGAACTCATTGATTTACACGTCGCATGAAGGCTAGCTCACCGTGAAACAGGGTTGTCGGAGGGTGTCGTGGAAATGTCGCGTAGAGCACGATGGCTGCAGATGATCGTCAGGTATGAGAGTTCTTTTGAAATTTTGGTGTTTTGATTGCAGTATATGAAGCCCCGCAGTCTGGAAGATGAAGCTGAGGCTGCAGGTGGAGCTGCTGGGCGGCTGAGCCGACTGCCACCTGCTCGGTTGCAGGGATCCGCCGCAAGGACTGCGCCGACGAAGACCATGCCACGGGCTAGCAATTGCTGCTCATTACAAGCAGGAGGCAGAGCTCTGCCAGCCCAGCGCCACCGGCAGACATGAAGTGCCGACGGCTGGATGTGCCCCTTCAGCCCTTCCCGCGGCCGGGGGCGCTGCCGCTGCTGCCGCCGCCACGCGCCGCGCCCGGAGAGCGCCTCGTGAAGAGCTTGTCCAGGTCCTCCGTTACGACATTGCTCCTGAGGGCGTGCACACGCCGAGGTACGCACGTGGCAGAGGCGGCGTCGAGGAGACGGGCACTGAAGCGCACGGATCGTGGCTGGGCAGGGCCCTGCATCTGCCAGGTGCATTTTGGGACGGCACCTACACGCAATCAAGCAAGCACGTTTGTGCGCGCGTGCGCACCTGCCTCGCAGCTGGGGGGGCACCATTACACCAGGCGCTCCGCTGCCCGATCCTGTCTTGCCGCCACCGCGCCCGCCACCGTGGGCGCTCTGTCCGGGCGAGGTCTTTGATGACTTAGGGCCAGCTACGCTGGCAGACGCCAGCGCACTCCCCGTAACATGGGAGACGGGCCGCTTGGCAGCGCCGGGTGCCACCACGGGAGCCACTCTGCGGGTTGTCAACAGCCTTCTCATAGACGCTGCGGAGAGACGGCCACGAGCATGATGGCCCATGACAACTGGCTGCGGAGTGATTCGCATGAAATATCTGATCCGGCTCCGCACCTGCTGGGTTCGGCATCACCAGCAAACGGGTTGAACAGCCGCTGCGGAGCTGGTGCCGACCTTGCCGCTGGCGCCGCTGCTTCGGGTTTGGAGCCTTTCGCCTTCTGTGAGGGCGCTTCTGCATCGCTGTCCGAGCCGCTGTAATCGCCCAGCAGGTCCATGTCACAGGGGTCTGCCCGTTGCTTGCGACAGTGGTGCTGTGGGTCCGACGAGCAGCGAGGGGTGAGGCGCTGTTGGGATGCCGGTGTCGCCGACGACGAAGCCTGGACTGAACGCTGTCAAACGCTGCAGGCTAGAGAGAGTGTACCGTATATATAGATGCAGAATCGCTGCCGCTGGATTCCAGGGGCAAGATTGGGTCGATCTACCGACGGTAGGCCAGGCTGATCTGCGCTGGCAGCAAGGCAAATCAATGGATGTGTCATTCGCCGCACCGCGAAGCTTCGAGTCTTCTTCTAGCCATGGGCCTTCTTCGATCATCGCGCACCTGGCCAGTCTTTGAATCTGCTGCATGAGTGCGTGCCCTGCTTTGCTCGGCCCGGTGGCCGTCATGGTCCTCTGGTAGCCGCATAGTATACGGTACTCTCTGTCGCCTCGTGATGGCAGCACCACATGGCCCGCAATTGGGGCTTGGACCCGACACTGGCGAGCCGATTGCGCAGCACGGCGCACGGGTTGTTGTGACCCCCCTGCTCATCCTGGACGTGGCCCCAGCCGCCGTGGAGGAGGCGGCACAGGTCCCACAGCGGGGTCCAACCGAGGGCAGCAGTTCAGCCTCTCCCATTCCGGCCAGGGGCAGCGGGGCACCTGGGATGGTGGCGCTCAGGGCATTGCCGGGTGCGCTGGAGCGCTCCTACTGGAACTGGCGCCTGCGGTCTGACCTCGCACAGGTGTGTGGGGCCCCAGTGCTGGGCGTGTCTGGCATCAATAGTGTTGCCAACGGCGGGACGAGTTCACGTGCGCGTGGTGCTTGGCAGTTGCCACAATCGCTGCCGTGCTCGCAGCAGAACGTCGCCCTGCTCCTAGTCGGCGAGGCTCATCCACCCTGCCTGCTCCCAACCTCCTGGGTTGCACTCGCCCCGCCGCCTTATTCCCAACCCCGTACAGGTGGACGCGGCCTTCCTGGCATTTAGCGCCAGCCAGACGCTACTAATGGCCAGCCGTGACGGCGGAGCCGGCCACAAAGCCGTCGCGCTTCTGCTGGGCGCCTGCCTGCTGCAGCTGGGTGTCATGCTGTGCGCGCCGCGCGCGTACGCCTCAGCACGTCTCCCGCTGACGTGCGCTGTGCGCGTCCTGCACTCTGCGGCCGGCTTCATGTCGCAGCGTGGCCTGCAGGCGATGCTGGCCGCCGACGCCCTGCAGGCTGCTGGCGCTGGCGCCGCAGCCGCAACGGCACCGCGCGGGTCGGTGATGCAGGCGGTGCTTGCCTGCACGGGCATTGGGCGGCTGGTGCTGCAGCCCTTGGGCCTGCAGCTGCCCTTCAGGCTCGCGCTACCTTTTCAGCTGCTGGACTTCGCCATAGCCAGGGGGCTCGGCGGGGACGCGCTGCGCTATGTCACTCGCTTGCTGGAGGTGCGGCGCCACCTGGGCACGGTTCTGCACCTGGCTCACGACACACTGGACGGGCTCTTCCATGGTGAGCGAAGCAGGGGAGCTACCAGCCGAATGCTGGCTGGTGACGACAGGAGAGGGGAGACATTGCAGCGAGCGCCTCGGTCTGTGTGGTTGCGATCAGCACCCGTGGCTCAATGAATCCCGCAGCTATTGGGAGGACGGCTGCCATTGTGCCCCGAGCCGCACAATCTGAAACTTGGCCGCCACACGTGGCACTGCCGCAGTGTCCACCGCGCTGCTGTTCCCTGGGGCCCACGACGTCACGCCGGCCTGCCCCCCTGCGGCGGCGGAGCTCCTGGTCGTGTTCGTGCAGCTGCTGTGTGGCTGCCTGCTGCCGCTGTACTGCGCCTATATCAGTGAGCTGTCCAGCAAGGTGCGGTACGTGCAGCAGTGGGCCGGCCGCGAGGACCTTGGAGTGCGCGGCGCTGAAGTGCAACACACCCGCTCCCACAGCCAAGGCGGCGCGGCCCTGGGCAGCGGCGGCGCTGCCAGTGCGGGCAGCGGGGGCGCCGCTGCCGCTGCCGCTGTCGCGCGGGACGGCACTGGCAGCAGCATTTGCGACGAAGACGGCAGCATCAGCAGCCATAGCGGCGGCAGCAGGCTGGAAAGCCGCAACGGCGGTGAGCGCGGCTACGTGACCCTGAAGCTGCGTGGCCCGGTGCTGCTGCTGGAGCTTGAGAGCCTCGCAGACGGCACCACCATCGCGCCCCATTCGCATGCGGCCTTGCTGCTTATGCTGGTGGTGGCGGGCTGGGGGCTCACTTCACAGCTGCAGCTGCGCGCAACACTGACTGCACCTGCCTGATGCATCGGCATAAGGCAGGGCTGCCCTCTGTTCATCGTGACAACCACCCAGTGGGGCCCCTACCTACGGCTGTAGACGGATCCCCGGTGCGAGTGGATGTGTCTAGTGGCAAGATGTACAAGAGTCGGCGTGCCCAATTGCACGCTATCACTCGTGCTGGCTGTCGTTGCTGCGCCTCATTGCAAGAGAGTGTCTGGAAGGCAGGGCGTCCTGGGTTGCGTTGGGTTATTGTGATGTGTGGGCGCCAGAGCGTTGAGTTTTGTGCAGGCTCCTGACGCGTGGTGCATGCTGCAGTGCGCCTGCCCTCGTTCGCCCAATCGCCAATGTTTGTTGCAGGGTCCCTCATTTGTCAACAACATTCATGACTGCAAAACGTGTTGACCTCCAACCCCTTTTCATTGCTTGTTGTTCAATCAACTACGTATTGTCAGCACTCAACCGACGGATCGCTGATTTGCTCGATTCTTCCAGTCAATTACCCCTGTTTTCCTGCCATTGCTCACGTTTCTGGACATGTTTGGGAAGCGGCCAGGCAATCATGCATTGCGTAGATGCACAAACTTGTTTGTGCATCTGTTTGCTTGTGAAGGCGGTCAGTTTTGCAAAACAACACCTCAGTGCACTAATTTGCAGACACTGTTTGCAGGGCCTGGGGCCAGCCGTTGATACCGACGGCATAGCTACTGTGACACCTGTCATGCACTTCTTTCTGGGTAACGACTCAGCCATAGCACGTGAGGTCTGACAGCGGAGCAACCACAATCCAGGTTGGCACACAATCGGCAATCGGCACCGCGGTCCCACCGCGCGCCTGTGGCCTAACCAATTGTCGGCGGCTGGCCGACGCGCTGCCTCTCATCCAGGAACAGACGGACTGGCATGGCAATCAGGGCAAGGCGGGGGCGTGGGTTAAGGACGAGAACGCAAGCCGACAGATTCATTGCAGGCTGACAACAAGTGATTCCACAATAATAAGATCATTTGCTTCAGCAGCGCACCAGTCACGAGGGCTGCAAGGCTGCGCCTGCCTTGCAGTGCCTCACCCCTGTCTTCACGGTAGTCCATCGTCACCGCAGAGCCCGCTGGCACAGTCTGGGGTGAGCAGTGGGAATTTCAGGCCGTGTGTTTGCTTCCCACAAGCGGGGGTGTAGCAAGGGCGCATATCTAAGGCAAGCCCACTCCCTGCTGGCCACCAAACTTCTCTCATCCCACGCACCCTCTCAGGTGCAAGCTCACGCGCCTCCGCCCACCACCTGCACGTTCAAGTCAGGACGGTCCTTGAGGATCCTGTCCCTGGCCACATCAGCAGACTTGCCCACCTGAAAACGAGGAGAAAGGGGCAGAGCTGCACGCGTATCAGGATGGACACGAGCAGGTGAAGGTGCGCGGCTACGCACCATGGTTTCAGGGTGTTGGCGAAGCAAGGGCTTGTGGACGCGTGCAACAAGCTGCCTGTGTGCAGCATCAACACTCGGGAAAGCAATTGGCACGGTGCAGTGCTTTCTGCTTGCCAGCACTGGGTTGGGGCCGGTTCACAATTGTGCCTGACCTATTGATTCAAGATTCCATCGAAAAACTACATTGCATACGTATGCCGAGTCGTCGCGATGCACGCTCATCCAGTGACAACTTACAATCCACCGCAGTTTGGCACCCCCTCACCCACCCAGCTTACCAGCTTTGGCCAAGACGTGGGCGGCGATGCAATTGCGTGTCCTGGGGCCTGCTGATCGTTTGCATGTCCTGACGGAAATTCATTGGCCATTGGCAGTTGAGAAGTGAGACAGGCGTGGCAGCAGGGCAAGGCCAGCCTGAGGTTGCATTGACAAACACGAGATAACTTCCCGCCGGGCATCTATTGTGGCAAGCCGTGTGAGGTTGCGATCCCCATGAATGCGCGCCAGCTCAAGCACGCTACAATGGCGCACCAACTCCGCGGCGAGGCAGGCCGCCAACAGAAGTACCAGCGCAGTTTTGGAAGCCATGGACGCGTATGTTGTGAGCGCGGGAGAACAGTCACTGCGTTTTGTAAGTTGAGTACGTACAGTACCGGTACAATGATAAGATGATACAGTACAGTACCTCAGTACAATAAGACCGATCCTGAGATCCTCGGCTCAAAGCAGTGGTCGAAGAGTGAAACAGAGGCGATTTCCCAGGTTTATGCAGGCGTGTACACATATAAAACCTGCGAACATAATGGTGCCGCGCCAGGTGGGAACGTTGGGCGTGGCGGTTTAGCATTGACATGGCCTCGGACGGCCGGCACAGCGGGTTTACGGTACCTTGGCGGCCTCGGACAACTTGGTCATCTAGCGCCGAGATACCCAGCCCAAGGCCATTTCAAAAAGCAACCAAAGCTACACACAAAGCAAGCCGATACCAGCCAGCAGCAGGAAGTACAGCTTGCTTTGATTGAGGGCAACAGTTGCTTGTGTCCCGTAGGTGCTGCGAAGCGTGTTAGGGCGATCAGAATCAAGTGTGTATGTTTCGGCCCCATCAATGACACCTGATCAAGCGAGTTCCACCTGGCGGCAATCTTGGTTCCTGGATGCAGGCTGCGTGCGAACACAGTTGCTGGATGTGCCAGGCACATAAAGTTCACATAATCGTCGGTGTCTTACTCACCAGCCAGCAACCACCGACTCATCCTCCGTGTTCTAAGAGCTGCTGGCATTGCATAAACGCCCGACTCCATGGGACATTCCAATTCTCAAGTCTCTGATGACCACTATACTACTGTACTGTACAACGTGTGCCACTTTGTGCCACGCACCTCTGATGGTTGGTGGTAGTTATTAGTTGCACTTGCTATTGTCGTCGGTCCCATCACACTTGTTACTGCGGGGACAACCCCCGCACCCGCCAGCGCTTCGAACTGCTGGAGGTTTGCTTCTGCAAGGACAAAGTTGAAAATCTGAAGCACTGGCAGCACGCACGCTGTGTAATTTTATGTACCGTTGTTCATACCCTCAAGAACACACATGCGTGCCGTGCGCGGTGGGCCCTGCCACGGCTGGTGACAGGGCCGGCAGTCCCTGGGGTCGCCCACGCACATGGAGACTGTACGTCACACAATGTCAGCAGGGTGGCTTGGCTGCGCCATCCTGCGGTGTGAGCGTGCTTGTGAGATGCCCACAAGTTGCAAGCACTACAGCAACTGACACATTTGTCATCACAGTTTGCATAGGATTGTTGAGGGTGGAATGCCACCTGCTGCTGACACGCAGCGTGCCGCGGAACTATGCTTCCTGATGCTGTCTCTGCGCATGTGTATTGCATATGAGCACTTCGGTGCGTCCACAAGTACCCAGCGAGAGTGTGACCAAAGGCAGGGGGCCCTGCTGCCTAGCCAATGATGGGAACCTTGGTCACAATGGCCTGGTAGTCGGCGTACAGACGAACTGCATTGTGAGCACACGCATACAGCAAATCACGGGAAGGTTTACTTGTTGACCAGGATAGGGCTGCTTCCCCCAGAGGGCTGCTTCCGTGCACAAGTTGCCTAGTCACTGGAGGAATTGCAGGATAGACACCGTTCACCTTCCACGTCCCCCTGAAGTAATGCCTGACCTCACTCACCCCTGTCATCGCGGAACTCCATCGTCACTGCGCTGTCAGGCGGCACCACCTGCAGGCCCAGGAACACGCCAGGTGGGGCCGTCAGTGGACTGTGAGACCGTGAGAGCATCAGTTGGCTGCAGGTAGGGCATGTACGGCAACGCACATGGTACACATACAGCCCAGCTGCATCGGTCAGAAATCAGTGTGAAAATAAGGCTCGAGCCTGTCATATGCACACAAGTGCTAGACACGCGCTGCAATTCATCAAAGGTGCATACTTTTGCGCAATCAGCAGGCAAGAGCCCTGAGTTGGAGCTTGGAGGATGGGCAAACCATGGCGCCTTTCTTGCTGCCTTCCCCAGTGCCTTGCCGCCATACGTACCACCCATCTGCCAGGTCTTGCTCTGACCTGAACAATCAGGTCCGGTCTTTCGCTCTTGATGGCCAGCTTGGCCACCTGAACGCGTTTGCCGACCTGTTGCGAAACAGTTGTGGCGCTCTGCAGTTTTACCTACCATCGAGCAGCTGTGGGCACTCTACAAACGCTGTGCTCCATCACACGCTGCAATAGACATTATGGCAGCGCCCGTTTGATGACATCTCGACCCACTGGATTGCTTCCCCCCCCATGCGCACCATCTCGGGCCACGACGTCTTGCTCGGCGTCAAGGTCGCACCGGCGGCGGGCTGGGGCAAAACGGCTGCTGCGACTTCGCGGCATCCAACAGCACCGTCGATGCACAGAGGCCGGCGGGCCTAAGGACGGGCAAATTCAACGCGTGTACTTGATGTTTGGAAGGGCGCAGCACGTTCGCACCACAACGCAACAGGCCGGTGGTGTGAGTGGGCCAGCGGGTGTCACGCTCTTGCACTGATGCACATGGCGCACCTGGACACCTGCGATTGTCGAGCAAATGCACGCCCCTACAAGCGCCACGAGAACATTATTTGACATCTTCCTCAATCCTTCGAACCCCCAGGCTTTCAACACGTTGCCGGGCGTCAAAACATAGACTGCACAAACTTCCGGAAACTATTGGAGCATCGTACGCAGGCTGTTAAACGTGCTGAGATTTACCTCACGGCTATATTCTAGCACGACGGCACGCACACAAGCGCACCGACATGAGGGATGCAGGGAGAGGCAGGCGGGCGCAATTCGAAATGGCAGCTTGCTGTCAGGCCCAAGGGCCACTTGGCATCGACCAACAATGGTCACATGTTGCTTTACACAGCTAAATGCGATGATCGAGGCTCCTCCACAGTAGATCGGTGCCTCACGACAACGCCGCGCGATTTGCTGGCCGACGCTCGGTTATTTGCTTGGAAATATTCTGGATGCTATGGTGCGCAAGGGCTGTCGCGGGAGCATGGCACAGACCTTGATGGATCAAGGATACATCTCTGCACGAGCAGAGCGCACTCGCCGTCAAACTGCGCGCATGTCTGCCCCTGTGCGCACAGCGACGTGCCGCCCAACCAGCACCAGCCCCCGGCACCTGCAATCCTGCAGGGCGACTGCAGCCCAACCAAATGGCGTCGAGATGCCGTGCACGAGCCCGCCATTGGCAAGGCGCTGCAGCCCGGACACGACGGCAAACGCCGGCAGGGCGCAGGCGACGTGCGATCGCCGGCGGTGCGCCGCGCCGCCGTGCACGGCGACCAAGGGGCTACGCCTCAGCTCACTGTGCCGGCCATGCGTGGCGCTGCTGTGGGTGACGCGCCGGCCACGCCGCAGGAGTGTGCCACAATGATTGAGGCGGTCGAGGCGGCGGTGATCAGTGCGGCCGCTGCAGAGGCCGCAGCGACACCAGGTGCGCCGTGCCCAGCGGGCGCTGTGTGTGTGCGCATGTGTGTTTGAAGGTGGGGGGGGGGGGTGCTGTAGAGGACATACACATGAACTCTGCGTTCGCCCACCCTAAATGTTTGCCCGTGCCGTACTGCTGCAATCGGCATAAGAGCACCCACCTCTCCGCACATCCCGCAGTCTCAGGCCCGGCAGCCGCACCCAACCTGCATGCGTGGATGCAAAGCGCTGGTGCACAGGCCGGCCCTGCGCCAACGCCAGCGCGGCATGAGCTCGCTGGGCTGATCGATGCGGCTGCAGAGGGCAGGCAGCTGCGCAAGGAGATTGAGCTGTTGAGGGAGGCAGAGGTGAGCTTTGACAATGGGTTGTGGCGAGGTGACATGGACGTGAGGGGTGTGCCAACCCATCCAGGACGCGCCTGTGCCTTGAAGTCAAGTTGTCCAACCCGGAAGCAATATGGTATGATTGCAAGGCCAGCGTGTGCGCCGCCACGGATCGCCCATGCTGGCCAACACCGCTTCCCCCACCCGCAGCTGGACATTGCAGCGAGGGAGGCAGACGAGGCTGCGCGCACCTTCAGCATGCTGGTGTGCGGATCTGGGGTGACATTGCAGCGTTTGGGGCAACCGCATGGCTGGCAGTGTGTCTAGTGACACACTGAGTGGCCCCGGGCACAGCAACTTGCACACAGGACGGGAGCTCACGGCATTGTCGCCCCTTGTCACGCCCACTGTCCTCTCCCCCACCCCCGTGCTTCAGGAGGAGGAGAACCTGGGATTGTCGGCGGCCAACGAGGAGCTTCAACGCATGCTGGAGGAGGCCCAGGCACGCGCAGACGCGGCCAGGACAGCTGCGGTGCAGGCCGAGGCTGAGGCAGCAGCTGTGAAGCAGCGGCTTGAGGAGCAGCTGCGGCGCCAGCAGCAGCAGCAGCAGCTGCAGCAGCAACAGCAGCAGCAGCAGCTGCAGCAGCAACAGCAGCAGCAGCAGCAGCAACAGCAGCAGCTGCCAATCAGAGCTCCCGGCGTGTGCCCGTCCAATGCGGCCGAGGAGGAGCCTCTTGAGAGCAGCATGCGGCGGCTCCTTGAGCGGGCGGCGGCGGCGCGGCGCCAATCCGATGCGTGGCAGGTGGATGTGCGGCCCGTCGCTGTTGGCGTTTATTGCCGCTCATCGCAGATGCAGTTCTCTCTGCTGGTGCTTCCTCTAGACTCAGCGTGCTGTGCGATGCCCCTCCGTTTTCTGCGCAGTCTTCCCCTCCTGAACACCCCTCCTGAAGCCCCCCTCAACGTGCACCCATTCACTGCAGGCGGAGCAGGTGGAGGCGTTCCGTGCGTTGGAGGCGGCGGAGCACCACCTGCAGCACGTGGAGGCGACAGTGGGCCCCGTAGTGCAGCAGGTCGGCCGTGGTCAGGCGGCTGTGTCGTCCTGTGCGGCAGTGGGCAGTGCTCATGCGGCCGCAGCGCCGTTGCTGGTGGAGGCGCAGGCGGCAGTGCAGGCGGCAGCGGTGGCGGCGAGCGACGTGTCGGAGCGGCTGCGCGGGGTGCTGGCGGAGCGCGATGCGCTGCAGGGCGAGCTGCGCGCGCTGCAGCGGCGCGCAGAGGCGGCGCCGCTGGCACGGCGTGACGAGCGCCTGCTGGCACAGCTCAAGGTGGGGCCCCCGGAAGGGGACCTCAGGGGCGCTGTCGCAGGTGGCCCGAAAGCACAGCTGCTCAACACTGTTCTTTCTGACCACCTCGTGTTGCATATATCAGCTGTCTGCACAGTGAATTGTTTTGTGTGCATGCGTCTCCTGTCCATGTCCCCAAGGGCATGGTTCTCAACAACCCTGTGCACATGGGCCGACAACCCTGCAGGAGTCGCGCGCCTCGCTCCGTGACGAGCGTGCGGCGCGTGCAACAGTCACCGACGCGCTGCTGGGCCATGCGGGCCGCTTGCGCCGCAAGTACCGCCACCTTGAGGGGCGGTACGACGACCTTGTGGCGCAGTACACTCAGGTCAAGGGGTGGACGTCATGAGCCTGGCACGGGGCTTTGACCTGTGCACACCTCTGCTCTCATCTGCCCAAGTGGCTGAAATGAGCGCTCAACTGACATGCGCGGCACCGCCATGCCCGGCCCCCGGGCCGTGCCCCCCTGCAGATGCATGCTGCCAACGACGCGTTGTCAGGCCAGCTGCGCGAGGCGCACGAGGTGCTGTACCGCCTGCAGGCCGCCAGCCACCGCGCCCTGGAGGCCACGCCTCCGGGCGCCGGCGCGCGGCGGCGTGAGGCCGAGAAGATGCTTCGGCAGCTGCAGGATGCCCACGAGGTGCGGCTGGCGGCAGGGTAGGGG